CCACTTGCCTATCTTCTTATACTTAGCCTAGAAATATGGAACATACCTAACCTGCGCATACCTACCTCAGCTTCCACTTGGGGGCTTGAAGAGTAGAATCAGGCTTAGAGAAGAGAGCCCAGGGCAATAGTTTTATCTGCTCCTGTTTAGGGATGCCACAGATGAGCTTCATTTGAAAGTGTCACAGATTCCTTTGAGAAGTACTTGCCCAGCTCAGAAATACACTTCTCTTATGCAGGTAACTCTTTATGAGAAGTATTTAGATTAAGCTTTGATGTTTTGACTCAGAGATGGCTCAGTTCTTCTCGTTTGCTATTCCTGTGACTTCAGGTGCTTCTCTTGGGTTCTTTATTTGTGTTGGTCTCCTCACTAATAACATTCCTTATACTACTTCCAACAGTTAATTAAATCTCTAAAACTCCCTGGCTGATGAGAGCCTTTGACAGAGAAGTTTACTTCTACAGGCAGAGTCCCGTGATTTCTGGCAATTTCACATAGTGACTGCGAATGGGATAGCTTTCTCTCACCTCACCAAAGCACATCACCAAAGAAAAAGATCTTTGTGGAGCAGTCGTGCATTAGACCTTTAGTCTGTTGGAAAGGAGAGATGACTAAGTAAACTGATGTTGTCTGTTCCTTCCCTGCTTCCAAGATGACCCAGAAAGTTCTCTCCCCCCATCCAAATCAAGGGTTGAAGACACTGCTGTGATTGATGCCTTTTGTTCCCAGACCAAATTGTTTTTTATAGCCCACCCCCTGCCAGCACTTTCCAAAGTGCCACTGCCATTAGCTCCAGAGGGAGCCCTTCCTCAGGCTTCCTGGCCAGCAGCTGCGCCGTGATGGCAGGGAGCACGGAATGGGAGGAGAACGCAGCTTGCAGACAAATGGGCTGCTAATCAGACCAACAGCCCCATCACTAGAACCATAAAAAATCCCCCCCCCCCACTTGCCTCATCTGCAATTCTCTGCTGAGGTGGGGGAATGCTCCTTGGAAAATTATGGCTTCATATGGTCTATCAAAGCAGCCTCTAATTCCCCCCTCCTCCACCTTTTTTTTCCCCTCAAACCAATTCTGCTCATTGAGCTCAATATTGTGGAATCATTACAGACCTTACAGATATTAAAAGGACAATAAGGGAATATTATGAACAACTTTAAGCCAGTAAATTCAACTCAAATTAGATGAAACAGACAAAGTCCTTGAAAGACACAAACTACCAACAATATGTCAACCTAAACTAAAATTTCCTGGATCCTTCTTTAAACTGTCATCAGAGTTTGGATCTGTCTCAACGTTCAGCTCTTTTATTTTGAAGCAGCTCTACTAAGCTTACCTAATTTGCATTCTCAACTGTTCTGCTGGGGTCTGGGCACACGTTTTCTAATTGGAGGATGGAGAGGGTTAGGCTATTTTATAAGAATAAGCATCTCAGGGGTTAATAAATCTTAATCAGGATTGTAAGATCCTGATCCTTCTGGGTGGCCTTCATGTTGGGGCCAGGATGACAACCTCTCTGGACTTTGTCTAGCGTTTCTGGTCCTTGCCAATGTGAGAACATTTCAAGGAGTCTTTAACATATATATGTGGTTAGAGCCTCTTGCATCATAAAATGGTTAGACAAGGACCCGTATAAAACAGTCGGTCTACAATGAGGTTGAGGCTTTGGAAACAAGCACATCCTTTTCAGTGGTGCTTATTTTTATAATGTGTCATTTAGCAAATGGACTGTGAGGAATTAGTCATGCCAAACATCTAACCATCCCATGACTGGCTACAGACTAAACATCCCAGATGAAAATTTTGAGTTTGAAGGTTTAGTTTTTCATTCCAATGTTCAATTAAAATAAAATGCTATATTTAATAGGACCCCCAAGTTCTAGTCTAGGTTAACTTGTTTGCACCTTTCAGCAATACAGGTTCAACACCTAACTGGCAAACCATTATGAGTTCCTTCCTCCTAGGTTAGTTTGAGAAAATGTAATGTTTGAAATCATTGTGATCTGTGTGGTAAAAACAATATACTAAATCAAGTAAAATAGTAATAGTGTTAGGGTATTATCCCATTGATGAAATCACTGTTTACATCCCTTTCTGTTGCTAATATGGTAGGTCCCAATCTGAACACACTATTGTATGTAGGAAGCCAAACCCTTTGTTTACCTTTCTATAGGTCTGGGTGCCCCCAACTGCTCTGCTCTCTTGGCTCCTCAGTAGTTACCTAGCTCTGAGGCTTGACCCTGTAGTCTCCTAAGCCATCTGAGCCAGCCTTTTCAACGGATTCCATGCCCTTGCATCTTCTTATAGTACTTTTCTTCCGCTTTACAGCTCTATTATTTTTAAATTCTCTTCAGCGTTTTTCCTGCCCTCTTCTTGATCATTTCCCTTTATCTTTTTAGCTAAGACCATTACATTTTTGTTTGCATTTATTGTAAATTGTACTAATTTTTTAAAATTAAATATAGTTGGTATATAATATTATATTCATTTCAGGTGAGTTTGATATTTCTGACCTCCATATGGGCTGCTATAAAGATTTTGAAATTATGAAACATTACAGAGTGAAGGAGTTTAAAAGTATGCTAACAAGCTTTCTTTCTGTTCTTGTTGGCCAGGAGACTCAAGCTGAACGGGCACTGCCTCTAATGAAACCAAGTTTCCTACTTCCATTGGATAGCTAGGCTTGAAATTCACTCTCTCTACTTGGTGACAATCAATAAATACTTACTGAGTATCTAGTGTATATCTAATATGGTAAAAAAATATTTTGCATTTGTTAGTCAGGCATTCAGGACTCCCACCTGCTGGCCGGTGCTTATCCTTCCAACCATATCTCCCCAGAACCTGCCTGTATGGACGCTGCTGTAGCTAGAGTGACCCTCTGCTCATTTTGCTCATTCCTGCCTCTGGACACTTGCTAAAGCCATTCTCTTCCCTTACTCCCACTCCCCCTCATCACAGACCCTGGAAGACTCTCCTACTCTTTTATGCTTATACTGTTCCTAGCCTAGAAGACAATTTCCTATAATTTTGCTGTAATGCATGCTTATCTCGAGCCTGTGAACTACTTACGCTTAATTTCTGACTTCTCTGGCATTTAATAATATAAACCTTTGACATGATGTAGTGGACAGTATGTTGAAATGGCCTCTGGAAACAGCAGTTTTGTATCCTAAATATGGCTTCCTAGCTCTGTGACCGTGGAAAAAGCTGCTTCATCTCAATGATTCTGTTTCCTCATCTATAAACTGGGAATAATGATAGCGCCTATTTTACTGAATTGCTGTGAGGATTAAATGTGATAGGATATGTAAAAGTACCTACCACTGCCTGATGGCACAGAGGGAGCACTCAGTCGAAGTTAGCTATTATTATTTACCTCGTGTATTTTTAACTTATTTACATATGGATTATGTTTCCATTATTAATGGGAGTATTACTATCTATTGCAGCGGTTCTCAACCCTTTGGGGGTCGAACGACCCTTTCACAGGGGTTGCCTAAGACCATTGGAAAACAAAAAGATATTTACATTA